TTGTCTGATAACAAAGTGTTGTTGATTGGTGTTCGAGAGCTATGTACGCAATCCAAATACAACGAACAGTATAATAGAACAGAACCGTTCGAACAGTTTATTTGTACCGCTCATTTGCTAGTTGGTAGCTGCTATAGCTATTGCCCATCCAAGCGGCAATCACTGCCGACGATGGCGACAACGGTCACCGTCAATAGCAATACTGTTTTTGTTGTGGCTTGGCTGAGACAGAAGGTGACCGAGAGGATACGGGCAAGTAAACAATCAACGAGCGCTAAACAACTTTGGCAACGGCGACAACAGCAACGATTTGGACGACGACGACGACGATGACCCTTACGGTTGTCCCGTGAAATACAGAGCTGAATCGCCGTTGTTATTTTTGTCACTAAATTGTCACTGTCATTATTTTTCACCAAATGAAAAAAAAAATTTTTTTCTTGATTTTAATTTTTCGGCTAACAACTTTTCAATATTCAGAATTATTTCTGTTGCTACGGCAAGTTAAGTAACCGCTGAAAACAGCTGACACAGGACAGGTCAACTGTAGCTACCTGGTCGTAAAATTCGTATCCGATCCTTTCAAACTTTGGTATCGCTTCTTGTTTGATTTTTTTATTGGTTTTCACAATTTTCTTTGATTGTCGCTGTTACTTTTTTTTCTGTTTATAATATTTTGTTATTATTACTCAGAAATAACACTTTGTCACCATCCATTCATTGCATCGTAGTTCATACATTTTTCGCAGTTTATTCATTTCTCATATGTTTCTTTTTTCGCTGTTTGTCAACCATACTACTTTAGTACTGTCGTTTCTTTTTGCTCTATTTCATTTTACTCGTTATTGTCTTTTTTTTAAAGTCTGATTCTTAAAGGGTAAAAAGAAAGAAAGCGTGAAGCAAAAAAAAAAAAAATGGAAATCGGAGCTCTGTTGAGGCTTTATTCAATTACTTGTCGGGTAAATTAGGTTGTTGATTGTTGAACCATCGCCGTGTGGTAGAAGGAATGCCAAAGTCTTGTTGTATACATGTTTATCTATCTATCTGCCTATCTATCTATCTATTCATCTATCCTATCTTTGCTTTTTTTCTGTTTAGCTATCCATTCAACTATTCACCTGTACAAAACGTTTGAAATTCTGATTTGGTTGAAAAGGAAAAAAAAATTCCCTCGTTTCTCCTGCATTCTACCATTTCCAAAGCTCTTCCTCATTTTTGGTAGACTTGTTAGTTTTAATATTAGCATAGCTATTAGTGATATAATTACTCTTATTATTTTATCATTGTATTATTTCTATAATATTTCTTCATTCCGTTGTTTGCTATGCTACTCAGATCCCTTAGATGTATTTATTTTTAGTACTTCCTTTGCTCACTACGGTCTCCTTCATCTGTCTTCTAATCCTTTCCCTTCCGCCATTTTGTAATTTAGATACCTCCCATTATATATATATATATATAT